GTACACATAATTAGTAACAACAAGTGCACATACACATAATTAGTAGCCTCCAAGTGCACGTACACATAATTAGTAGCCCAAATGCACATACACATAATTAGTAGCCTCCAAGTGCACATACACATGATTAGTAGCCTTCAAGTGTGCATACACATAATTAGTAGCCCTCAAGAAAGTGTAAGTAGTGACTGAAGCATGTCATAAAATCACTATTCTTACTCAACCAACAAGTTTTACTATTCTACAAGTAACTAGCACAGTTTACTGTTCCTCAATCAACACATGTGATATAATTAACAAACTATTGTATCATTTAAGTACTACATAGTTATTTGAAAGGTAGAACACTTTAGCATTCAGCAGGCAATACAAGTGATATACTTTAACAACTTATTGCCTTCTTTAGATAATATATAGTTTGCAGAAGAAATGCAAGAAGCTTTCATCATATACTTAGAACAGTGTTGCACCCTTAAAATAGTCTCCAGTTGGGTAAAATAAGTTTAAAGATTTACAGTGCTAAAATGGAGGTTTCAATCCTTCCCTGGTGGACAGAACACACGTTGTATGTTGTCAAGCTTTGCACTAAAACAAAAAAAAAAATAACTGCTCATTTAGCTCATCTCTTCATATGTTCAACTAAATAATTGTATTTTCATTTTGTAAGTTCTCAGTGTCTGACCTAATTGGTTATTTTATCAACAGTGGAAAGTTCCGTACCCCATTGACTTTTTGCAACAATTAGTAGTACCAGGGCTTAATAGTCAGGAGAAGATACTACAACAAGAGAAACAACAAACCACCTTGCAGGAGATCTTTTTCAATAAGAATATGTAAGTAGTCATTATCTTGTATTATTTTCCCCTGGAAATGTAGAAACAAAATATCCTTATAAAAAGTTTTTTGAAAAAGTAACTGACCTGATTAGCCTTAGTTTTGGTTGGTGGTTAAACACATTTTATTATTATTGTTTTAATAAACAAATAAGCGGTGTTAACTTATGAAGTAATTTTTTTACGTGTAATATTGCTGTAAAATAATTTTACTGTGTTTAATGTTTCTTGATACAGCCTTGAAGAAAAAATAAAATGCTCCTCTTTAATATAAATTTGGTGGCTTTTTTTTTGCACTAGTTATTATTGTTGTGGATTTTTTTTTTAACCCAAACATTATCTGGACCAGAATATTTTGGGTACCCAAAAGAGATTATTAGTTTCAGAAAGAATCAGTACAAGCTAAGTGAATTTTTGTTTGATGTAAGATTCCTAAATTCTATAACTAGTATATATATATGTATGACTCCTTCAACACTCATATTCAACAATTAAATGTTTAGTTGTGTAAAATGTTTTCTCTTTGTTTTTTTATAGGCTTCCAGACACACCCCAAGAACCAGAACACCAGTTGTTTCATCCACAAGAACCTGTGGTTATTCCTCTGGAAGATGTAAGAATCTGTCTTTTATATATATATATATTATCAGTGCTACTTGTTACCTTTCTTATGTAGAATTGATTTCTGAAGGTTTATAACACCAGGTTTTGGTACTTGTCATTGGAACAGCACAGGTAGCCCAATGTGTAGCTTTGCAACAAACAAACAAATCATTAAATTTCTACTTTTAGAAGAGCATCCATACTCAAAATATTTCATTAACATAATTGTTAGTGAAAAACAATTATTTAAAAATATTCGCAACAAGCCAATCAGCAACATATTATACAAGAATAGTAATCCTTGTTACGAAGAATGCTGATTTGTTGTATAGGGTACGGTTCACCTACGACAGTTGAACGTGAGTGTGCCATATATCGGCTTGCAAAAATTCTGCACGCATTCAGAGCAGCTGCAGTCAATGAGTTAATATTTAACAAGAAAGATTATCTAAAAACGAGAGTAACATAGCTGCCGGGAATATGAGAGAGGGAAATAACCTACTGGTAAAGACATTTTAATCATACTTCATATAGTTTTGGTTATTGGTGGATCGTACGAGATAATGTATAATATTTGTTGAAATAATAACTTTAAAATCTGGAGAGACAACCTAGGTTACCCTAAACAACAAGCATGCTTAATCTTTAATTTGAGTAAGAAGATAAATTAGGCTTCAGCAATTTCTACTGTAACTATAACTTGGAGCAGTAAAAATATTTAATAATGATTATTAACTTAAGAATATTCAATTTCTAGTTTGTTTTGTTTTATGCCTAATGTGGTTCTTTTAAACTGATTATATATTAGAAAAATGTTTAAAGTGAATTGTGTAGTAACTCTTAACAATAAAAATTTCTTAAATATTCAGGAAAACAACCCTGGGGCAGTGATCGACTATTCAGCAGTAGATCTACCTCGCCCAAAACTGGACCTTCCTCCTGTCCTATCCCATTTAATGGTGTCTCTATCAGAAAAAGGATACCCAGTAGATCACGTAAGCTAAGTGATAGATTTATTTTAAGATAACGTTTTGTGTGTTTGTTTTAAAAACAATTTCATGGAAAAATATTTTTTTCAATTCTGTAGAACTAATCCTTACCTTTTCCCTACTGTATATTCTCTAATTCTATCTCTAAGATATTGTACTATCTTTTCAAAACTCCAGTGTTTCTTTCCTCATCCTCCAAAAATTAAGATCAAACCTATTAAATCCTATATTTTAAAAGTGGTCCTATTTTTTAGTGAAAATAACCTATAAAACTTATTATATTCTTTTCAATCAACCCGAACCTCACATGTATATATTTTCACATAAGTATATTAAAAAACAGGATTTAAAAAAAGATAAAAGTTCTTAACTGTAATACTAAACAGAATCTATAACAAATGCCTGAAAAGTTGGTAAGATTTGTTTATAAAGCATAAGAAATGTACTTCAGCTCCAATAATATTGCAATTTTATAATTGGTTCAAGTTGGAAAAACTGATTGTTTGCTTAAAGAAATTAGCCATAAAAACATATATTTTTCTGGCCAATGAACCTACAAAAACCTATACGTTCATGTTACAGCCTATTTTTATTTAGAAATGGACCAGAAGGCCTGTAATCTCTCTCCTCTAGATACAATAATATTCATAATCATTCTTATTATCACTGTGTTCTAGTACTTCTTATAAGTATTCTATTCTATTGTAAGGTATTCTATACAAAACATTATTGTTGTTGTGATAAAATCTGATTCTATATTCTCGATTTTATTCATCCAGGTTCCGGACTTCTTTCCAAATAACCCAGATAGTATAGTTCATGTTCCTGATATTCCTTCAGGTAATATATTAGAAGATATACATTGTAGAAAATATGAGTAGTGCACTTGTATTATATAACTAACACCCAAAAAACATTGTTAATTTTGAGATTGCCTTTAACTTCGCAAAACAATATTGCATCTCTCTTTATCAACTTCTACATTTATAAACTAAATACATAAACATACAATATATCAACATATTTCTATATAAAACTTTTTTGTTGACACAGATAATATATTAATCATCTGTTGGTTGGTAAACGTTTGCATATTAAACAAACATATACATTTTGTTTTACTGTTATGCCATTCTACAAATACATTTTAGTACAGACAATTTTATTTATCTCAGTATTGAGTGGTTCAAGGTTTTGTATATGATATTTTCAATTCATTCGTTCAACTTGAAGTCGAAGCACTCAATAGTTTTCTTCTAAATGCATTTATGTATATATATATTGACTCTTTCACGGCGGGCTTGTGCAATTTGCAGAAATCGAATCACGAATTTCACTTGTACAACAATACATGTGATAACTCTGAGATTTCTTGACATATCCTCTTAAAAACTGGTAATATTTTGTACGTATGTGTATGTAACATCTATATCTAGGCTATAAAGCTCAAACAAATCTGTTGAAGGTGGGCATGGAAGCTGACAGGGGTTGAAAAAAATGTATTACTTTTTTCAACTGTATTCATTCACAGAATTTTGAAATGAATGAGTCAAAAGGTTATGTAAGCATCTTACTGACCAAATGTATCTCTACTCAACTATCATTGTATTATTAAAGATACAGAGAGCCGAAGTAGAGAATATTCATAACTTGTTGGTCACATGACAATACATCTGAAGTTTTGAGTAGTTTTTTAAAGGTTTATTTTAAAATAAAGGACTTAAATCTTGGATAAAATAATACTTTATATCATACCATACATTATAATATTAATTCCATTCAAATACATTGAGAGTAAAGGTGTTTAATTAAATTTTGAATGTAACACAGAAAAGCATTTAAAGGGGGCTCATGTTGTGAAAGGGTTAATCAATCTTTAAAGATGTGTTATATTTGGCCTTTTTCTTCATAAGGATAAAAATGACATATATTAACTTTAAAGCTAATTTATAAAATACTTTTGGAACCAACAATGACAGTTTTAGTTTTGAACTATTAGTGATTGAAACATTCTAGATGTTTGTTACATATTTTATTTCTAATCCTATCTGCAGTTTACCACAATGAATTCAACCCACCATCACAACCACCACGGCCTCAAGGGCTTATGGGAAGCTCTCCAGTACACCAGTATAACCCTCCTCCTCCTCCTCCAGTCACTGAACAGTTTTACCCCCACGATATCCAGTTGGGTGGTCAGTGGGGTCCATTTGAACAAGAGCTGCCACCCCCTCCAAAATATCCTGAGAATTTCTCTCCTCAGGGGCCACAGCCTATATTCCAAAACTCTAGGCCTCCTCCCATGATGAGTGGCCTTCCAAGAGGAAACAGACCACTACCACCACCTAGGATACCAGATATGCCTCCACCGATGAGACCACCCCCTATGAGAGGAGGTTTGTATTAATGGGTGTTTTTTTTTTCCTTTATAATATAGTTCTTCAAATGTTTATAAGCTAGCTACTCAAGTGTCTCGTTGGGTTTACATATAAAAGGAAGTGTATTTGTGGAAATAACAAAACCTGTGATTATTTTAATATCTGATAAAAGAAGAAGGTACCTGATGTAATTTTTTTCTCTGTGGCTACTATTTAAGATTCTGTCAATTCGCTTCACTTGTAGAAAAAAAATATTTTTATTGTAACCTAAACTGCTTTTTTCCAGAAGGTTACAATGGGTATCTTATATCTTAAAAGAGGGTATGACAGTAAACATTTTTGTGTGTTGTAAGAACCTCAAAAGGAAATTCACAAAGATAATCATTTCTCATTAGAATGCTCCATTTCCCATACCATTTGTTATATAGGAAACTTGATTTAATAAATGTAGTTTTATTGTTATCAATAATTAAAGACCAGGGTAGATTGCAAGTAAAGTATAGCAGGTTTATTCCCGAGTTCTGTAATCAAGTCTTATGTTTTGTAATGATCATAAAAGTATATACTATTTAACGTATTTTCCATTTCATCAAACAAATTACAGTTTTTCAACATCTGCAAAGCAGTATTTTTTACCTTAAAAAAAAAAGAAAGAGTAACCTCTAATGTTTTTCAAACAGTATATTTGTTTACATTTCAGGACCACCAGGTATAAGAATCAGAAGTCAACCATGGGTCCCATGCAGACATTTTGTTTCTGGAGGTTGTCGGCTTGGAGGGAAATGTAAATTTCTCCACCCTGGGGTCAACGGTCCTCCTTTGTGAAACAAGAAATTGTGTTACCTCAAGAGGCAAAGATCCTTCCCCACAGAACAAAAATTTTCCCTCGTTAAGGTAACGGTTCTTTGTTTATAAAACAAAGAACCTGAACCAATTGACACAGTGCTCTAAATTCTGTATACTGGGGGTCAGATGTAATCTTTATGAACCTCATCTGCCTTTAGTAAATATCCAGAGGTTAAGAACAACCTGTGAAATACTGAAGTGTCAACCTTTTCCAGAGTCTTTGGGGATGTAGATCTCATAATAATGTTACGCAACAAAAATCATGCAAGTTCATCTGTGTTGTAAAATATATATATATATATTTTTTGGATTGGTACATGTACAGTGAACTATGTTGACTAACAATGAACAGTCATGCTCATCTGTTGTTAGGAGGAAACATTACGTTAGTGACCTGTACATGATGTCAAGTGCCTTCAAAGGACCTTTGTGGTGTTAAATATGAATGTAAATTTGACCAAGGAGAGAAGGACGTTGTGTTCTTTCCTTCTGTGTTCATTCAACATGTACTGTCTTCATCTGATGATTCTAGGTTTCAATGTATGAAAAAAAGACTGATTAATGAAATTGTGTATATATATAAAACTTATGTTCTTAAAGAATATTTGACACGATTTGAAGGCAAGACACTCCATTCATACATTTACATACCATGTAAATACCTGAATTTGTAATTCTGTTTGTAGTATTCAGTATGATATTACTATAGTTATTGTGTTTGAAAATTACACTTGTTCTTCCCTAGGAAGTGCAAATAAAATGAATATACATATGTGATGCACATGCATGGCCTTTTCACTTGGTTTTAAGTTTACAGAAAATAGTGCTGTTAAAGTAATACTTTGCTGTTACTGATGAGAAATTCTGTTCAAGGTTTTTTTTTTTTTTTTAGTGACTACGTAATTGGCTGCTATCAGACTACAGGTATGTAAAGATGAATATTGGGGGTATTGGAAATACAGAAGAAAACTTGTTCTGGGAAAATGAATGGCATTTTTAAATATAGTAAACTGAAACGTATGGTTTTACACAATTGTTATTTCATATCCTTTGGAAATACTAAAATAGTGTTAAAAACTTTTAGTTCTAAACTATGTATACACACACAATTAAATGTTTTCATCAGTTGCCTTTATTTCTATATTTAATTGGAAACAAACAGGATTTTGTGTTTTAAATAAATTGCTGGAAAAATAGCAATACGTGACTACAACAAAAATAGGTATAAGTAATTAGAGCTGTTTGCATGACAGCATAAAAACTATTTCTTTAATTACGATGTTTTTTATAGGATATATATTAGAAAACCTGAGAGAAAAAAATATGCTCATAACATTTTATACAAAATAATAATTTTCTTTATTTTCGAAAGTGAAAATATTGTTTTTTACATGTTTCGCAGCTCAACTGACTTGTCATTGATAATACTGGTTGGTCAGTATTTGTGTTTTCTTCTTATCAATCAAATAGTTTTTATAAATAACTAGCAGAAATAATTATCTTGCTTGTGCATACATTAGAGTTCCAAGGCCCCACTTAAAACAGAAACTTGGCTACCTTCTCAGGCTAGAATTTGTAATCAGTGAATTGAGCTGGGGGGGCTGCTAAGTGCCAAACTTAACAGCTGAGAACGGTAAAAACTAGAGCTAATAAGAGTTTAGAAGTCTTGATTTTATTTAAAATTCACAGAAAACATAACTTCCCTGAAAACCTTAAGCCTAAATTTTTGTTACTATTATTACCACATAGTTTTTCATTTTGTGCAAAATAAGTAATTTTATTTTTGTAATTACAAGTTTCGTAAGTTTTTCTTAAAAGAGTTATATTTTATTTTAATGTTATACCTACTTCATTACATCAAAATGAAACATAAGGCAAAAATAAAATTCAAGTAGGGATGTTGTCGTCTCCTAGTCCTACCGTTTTGGTATTTATGTAAATTATTACATGTAACACATTCTTACTCTTCCTACAATAAAAACGAAAAAGCGCCATTTTATCCTCATGTGCATGATCTCAGTTCATTGGTTTGTTTGTATGTTTTGAATTCCGCGCAAAGCTACACGAGGGCTATCTGCGCTAGCCATCCCTAATTTAGCCGTGTAAGACTAGAGAGAAGGCAGCTAGTCATCACCACCCACCGCCAACTCTTGGGCTATTCTTTTACCAACGAATAGTTGGATTGACCGTCACATTATGCATGCCCCCACGGCTGAAAGGGGCCCAATTCATTGGACTGGTCTGATATTAGAGGTGTGACGGGGATTCGAACCCGCAGATTGCGAGTCGAGCGCCCCCTAACCACCTGGCCATGCCGGGCCCAATTCATTGAACTGGCCTGGTATTGGAGAAGGAATATTAACTGTAATAGCACAATTATTACATGTATCTACACGAAATATAGTAAGCTTTTATAAAATGTACAAGTCTACTGTACACACACACAAAAAAAAACAGGTGGGTTACAAAGGTAATTGTACTTGAGATATCAGTCGGAGTATAAGTGACGTCCATTGGAAAAATAAAAATGCTTTTGTCCATCATACAGTTTACATAACCGGTGACCAGTCAATAACGTTTTGATGTTATGCTCTCTGAGGACGTGCCCGGCATGGCCAGGTGGATAAGGCGCTCGACTCACAATCTGAGGGTCGCGGGTTCGAATCCGTATCCCACCAAACATGCTCGCCCTTTCAGCCGTGGGGCCGTTATAATGTGACGGTCAATCCCACTATTCGTTGTTAAAAAGAGTAGCCCAAGAGTTGGCGGTGGGTGGTGATGACTAGCTGCCTTCCCTCTAGTCTTACACTGCTAAATTAGGGACGGCTAGCGCAGATAGCCCTCGTGTAGCTTTGCGCGAAATTCCAAAACAAACAAACAAACAAACTCTGAGGACATGAGCGAACTTAAGCCTACAATCTTTGACTGGGGTCCACGGTTACAGCAAAGCTTGTTATCAGCAATCCTGTCCTATAACTGAAGTTGAACTGATTGTTCTTAATCTGGTGTCAGTAATTTTGTTATATAACTGAAATGATCAAAGCTATCAGAAGACTCTGTATAATCAGTGCAAATTCAGACTCAGTGCTCACGGCAAAGCTTGTTATTCGTAATCATAACCTATAACTGATGTTGCAATTATTATACTTAGTGAGGCCAGGTGGTTAGGGTGCTCGACTCACAATCTGAGGGTCGCGGGTTCGAATCCCTGTCCCACCAAACATGATCGCCCTTTCAGCCGTGGGGACGTTGTAAAGTGACGGCCAATCCCACTATTTGCTGGTAAAAGAGTAGCCCAAGAGTTGGCGGTGGGTGGTGATGACTAGCTGTCTTACACTGCTAAATTAGAGACGGCTAGTGCAGATAGCCCTCGTGTAGGTTTGCGCGAAATTCAAAACAAAAATACCTAGTGATCTTTCGCGTGTTTTGGAAAATTGAAGTTCCGAAGTTATTAAAAGTATTTGAGGGAAATTTATTGAGAACATAAAGCTTGATACGTTAGAAATCATGAACTCGATAATAACTTTCTATGTCATGAAAATATACGCCGTCATAGGTAAAGAATTAGTTTTGACTGGTCTAAATCAAGCGTGACAGGTTTAGATCTGACCGGTTTGAACTAGTTGGAACCGGTATGGCTGGAACCAGTTTCGACTGGTCTCTAACGTGGATATATGCATCAATTGTATCATGGTTTCAGGTTTACGCATACAGTTATTTGCTTGCTAAAAGAAATTTATTTGTTTTAAAGAATGCCCTGATAAATATATAGAGAAAAAGATGGATGTAATTATTATGCATGTGCGGACATGATTCAAATCTCCTAAGCTAATCTATTGTTATTGGGATTATGGCCGATAATTTCGATAATAGCGAAAACGCAATTTAACCCTTAAAAATTACCGACTTGTTTTATCGCTGTTTAACAACAGAGGGGTCCAAAATATTGCATGATGATAAGTAATTTTATTCTTTGCCTGTTATGACCAAAACAATTGTGTTGGGTGAAATCACAGCTTTTCTGAGTAAAATACACAAAGGACCTACATGGTATTGTAATATTTTTTGTATGAATCCAATGTTGTTACGTACTCTTTTAGCCACAAAAAACATGAACCCACATCAATTTGGCGCATAAGCAGTTCAGAGAAATGTTTAAAACACTGAATGGGTAGTAATTTTGAGGTTTATCAGTGAAAATGTTACATCTCTGTCATTTTAAAATTCTAGTTATTAGTCATTCAAGTTATAGTAAATTTTTCATATCTATTTAATTAACATTACTGCACTGTCTTCAATATCGTATGCTCATGGGATTTAATTACAGTATCAGCTCACTTATCTTCACAATTCCTTTGCAATAATAAGCAAACAAGAATCAGACGACTCGTTTTTCTTCCATTTTATTCGTTTTATAAGCATAACTGTTGCGAACTTTCGTCTAGACAATTATCAAATTGTATTGCCTTAGGTTGTTTAATCAGAAGGCTCGCACAAACTGGGTGTCATATCTTGTTAGTCTGAAGTATCTCTTTTTACATGCGACTAACCATTTATTAGATAATACGTGAAAAAAAAAGTGAAATATCTCGTATAAATATGGAGCTAGCTTATCAAAGCTCTGATTTTGGATGACTTGTTCAAACAACTTTTTATTACGTAATTTATAAAACACACTAATATATAAACGATCTAAAGGTATTAAAATAATAAATAAACAGCACACAACCTTAAAATCGATACACAATTAAAATAATGCTAAAATGAAGACTACACGTTTCGAAGTCTACCACGTCATCTTCAGAAGTGAACTTGCAAGACTTAACAGTCATATTTATTTCTTCTTAGCTATATCACGTGACCTGTGTATAAGTTTACATTCTTACACATATATTCGCCGGACCTTCGTCTCTACTTAATAATTTAGAATCTTTTTAAAACTTTATAATTTCTAATGATTCGCGATTATTATTGGCTCTAATACCCTTTGTCCTCCCCCCCATAATATCTTATGTTTTATATACGTATTCTGCTATGGCCGAATTTTCAATCCTTTCATTTTTTACACATCTCTTATGTTCTGCCAAACGATATTTTAAATTACTTTTTGTCTGTCCAATATATATCTAAGTCGATGAATAACCTAAAACAAATTTTTGTTAATACTAAAGATAATATACAGTTCATGGAAAAAGTTGGAATTTATCAAATGGAAGGTGGCAGTGTCGGGATCATTACATTATTCCTAGTTGTCTTCAATGAACATTTTAAAGGTTTTGATTCTCAATTTGCTAATATAATAACAACAATGTAGTGTAAACTCTTTCGTGAAAATTACAGACTGCTAACAAAGTTAAACCAAACTATTTCCCAACGACAAAGTTAATTTTGACCAAAAACGATTATGTTGTGGTTCCCGACCTACTAATAATAATGTCGTCAATCACGAAACTAAGGAAACGGTTATCCACTGATGAAATTCAATTTATAGTAACAATGTTTCAACTATGCTATTACACCCAGAACTCCTCTTCCTACACTTGGATTTCGGACAGAATGAGAAGACTTTGTTCGGGAACGTTTTAGTTCATTAAATAAACACACCTCATCTGATGTGGATACAAGTTATTACGACATGAGAGTACAAATCGTGAAGATTGTTCGTCATATAACCAAATCACTCTTCCCCCGAAACCAACAGTTAACCATTCTGTTTTGTTTTTTCCCCCCAAAATGCAAACAAATAGTCACATTTTATCTGTTTTTCATGCTTTTCGTTCACACATCTCGCATCTTCTAGACTGCTAAACTCAAACTTTTGTCCTAAAGAACATAAAGCACAAAAAAGTGAAGAAAGTATAGTTTGAGTAAAATCTGACAAAGGTATTGTTGTTGTCATCATGGATCGTATAGTATACCAGCAAACGATGTACACACTCCTCGATGATACATTCTCATCTACAAAATATGAAAACTAACTTAACCCTTTTCAACTAAAAGTAATTTAAACAAATTATTTTACAGTTACAAATAACTTCTCAACTTTCTGTTGGTATATATCAATTTCTTCGACCCTCAGATTCCCGAACTTCTCACATTTATGGTCTTCCCAAAACTCACAAACCTGATTTTCCCTTACGCACTATTGTTTCGGCATACAAAGTTTACTATTATAACCTTGGAAAGTTCCTGCTTGGATGTTTTCTAAATATGTTTCTCTGTGCTTCCTCCTTTATAAAATATTCTGAAATGTTTGCTAAAAAATTCCGAGAATTTAGTCACTTTGTTCAGTTAGTGACATTGGATGTAAAAAATATTTTCACTCAAGTCCTCGTCCTTGAAGCAATAAATGCTGCTTTCCAATGTTACCAAAACGATTCAGATCCTCGCCTAACGATTAACACTATAAAAAATTGTTTCTCCTTCCGGCTAAATCTTCCAGTTTGGAGGTGTGAATTATATACAATTTGACGGCCTATGTATGAAAAATCCCGTAGCTCCAGTACTTGCAATATATTTATGATAAGAAATGAAAACGCTGCCATCTCAAATTCACTTTATAAACCAATTTTTTGGTTTCGATATGTTGATGAGGTTTTCTCAGCTTACAATAACCTTAACGTTATTCACGAATTTTTCGCTCATCTAAACCAGATACACCAAAACATAAAATTCACGATGGAAAAAGAAGTAGATGACAAGTTATCATTTCTAAATGTTCTAATTAAAAAGACCAACACAGGCTTCCAGACCTCAGTATTTCGTAAGAACACACACTAGACTTTATGTTCCTTGTAATTCCCTTCATCACCAATGCCAAAAGCTGAGTATATTAAAAGGAACTATCCGTACAAGTAAAAACAGAACTTCCAACATCGATCGTTTCAAAAAGAAAACCCTAGATTTAAGTTGTGTATAAAACAACTTCCTCCCCACTGTTGTTAATAGAGTAACAAGCCAAAAATTAACACAGAAAATGATTCTTTTCGAAATGTCACTTGTATACTTTACCATTCATCTCAAACTTATCTCATGCTATCAAACAAATCTGGTTGAAAACAGTCAGAAAGTATAAATTTTACATTTTTACCCGGAAAGAATCTAAGTCAACTGTTTTTTTAAAAGTAGATGGATAATGATACTTAAGGAAATGGGAGTTTTGATGAAAAAAAAAAAGTTATTCTCTAAAAACTTAAATCGAATGTTTGAAAATAACAATTATTTCTACTTAAATTATACCCTTTATATTTTGTATCGAAACTCACAGTTAATGACTGTTACTCCATTTTTTATCCCCTGTTATGACAACCCTGTCAATCTTCATGGATTAAAATCATTACACAATTGGTGTATATTAGTAAGCCTAACGATGCTCCTATTTAGAATGAATGTTAGAAGAAGTTACATCCAAAACTTGTATTCTCTAAAAATATTTTTATTTATTTATTTTCAGGTATCAAAAAATAAATACAGCAGATCAAACTTTTATTTCCCTGTGGCTAAAAAAAATCAATGTTCTTTATAAAACAGAGTCTGAAAATACGGTAATTCAGTAACTAGTAAAATATTATATAAAAAAGGAATGTTAAAACCTTCCTCAAACTAACTTTCTATTTAACTAGTTATCCAATTATTTACATTCACATATAAACAACAGTGAGTATAAATGCAAGATCAATAATGTATGTTCATTATTTCAAGCTTATTATAGTTTTTCTTATCAATGAGTCAAGTAACTACAAAACAACATATTGCACCCTATGTTGTCACAACCAGTTGGTTTCAACAACTGCTACCTGGATTATTCTCATGAAAAAATCTGAGTTCATTTTCAAATGAGAATCACTACAAGAGCTATTCCACACTCATATATATAAATAAAATTTTAATTGCGAGAATTTATTACATTTTATAGTTTATCTTTGCTCTGAAAATCGAAAGCAATTCTTCACGCATTATTTAATAGTAGCAGAAATAAAAAGTCGTTCATAAAATGATGACATACTTAACAAGTATAAATGTATCGACTTTTACATTTTATGGACTGTTTAATGAAGGTCTTAGTAAAGAAATCCAAAATTTCTGCACATCAGTGCCTTTAGATCAATGCTGCCCACTGAAGGTTTCAATCAAGTGATTTCTGAAACTGTTTATACACCTTATGACTGCTTCACCATCAGAAACGAACACGATAAAGTCGTCAAACGTCCATTGGTTTTTAATTAGCATCCAAGTAAGTCATAACTCTTAAACAATTTCTTGTAGCAAATGTGTATACGAAATGGTAATTTTTTTTGCATTTGTTACAATTTACAGTAATGACCATACACACACACGAAACCACTTCTTCATGTTTGATAAAAAAAATGTTAAAAGTACTGCAGTAATGCAAACTTGTAAGCTCAAAAAATGCTGGATGAGGTTTTCAAGAAAATATAAATAAGTCAATATGTAAAGCAAATTATTCAAAATATACATATCACATTAAAACTAAACACAAGGAAATAAAAATAACAAAACAATAAACTGGCTTCAATTTCTGTTTGTGTGGTTTTATATTGTTATAAATGGATTTACAATGATTCCCAGCACGTCGTTTGTCTCACTTTTTGGAATAGTATTGTGTTATTATTGATGACATCAAACATAGCTAACTTATTTCATCAACGTTTTATGCACCTATATTAATTCAGAATTTACTCCTTCACAATAAAATGTTGGTGAAGCCATAAATGCTGACATTTTTTTTGTCTGTGTTAATCTAATCAATTTATTTTTTGACTAGTAACAAGTATCACTAAATTAAAATTATTTTTATAAAACGATTTTAATTTAATTAATAATAGATAAGTAAATTATTCTACAAGAGAAAATGACTGATTTGAGTATCGTAGAGTCATTATATTTGATTACTAGTTTAATCTATATAACATCATTGAAACTTTATTTTTCTGTGTTAGGCTATCTTTTTTTTTAGAAATCATGGATTTAAGAATTGGATAAACAGTTCTGTAAATAAAAATTTGAATCATAGTTTTAATGACAAACAACATATAGACAAATGAAAAATCATGGAATGCTAATAGTTTTTTGCAACAGTGAAGTCCATTTGATAGTTTAAGATAGTCTGTTTAACTTGAAAAATTTCTTTTTGCTTATTTTTACCAATTTTATACACAACAAAGAGATGATGTAGCTTTCACATCTCCGAATATAGTATTTTAAAATTCAGAAAAAAAAATGTTTTCATTCAAATGCCTTTTAAATATACAATAACTCTAAAATCCTTTAAACTCTGACTGACCAATGGACAAAACCATAGTCTTCACATGATACAACTTATAATTGCATATAATACTGGCTACTTTACAACAAAATATTTAACAAATGAAACCTTTTTTTCACTAATAACGGACATACAGAAATACGTTAATCTCACACTTGGAATTTAACCTTTTTTGAACTCTCACAATAAAAACAAAACAAAAAAAACTGAGATAATTCTGAAGTCAGTCATTCTAAATTTGCAACTAAGTACAACAAAGGTTATGTCATTGAGACTCCAAACATTTTACGAACATGTTCGTATACTACATAGTTGATACTGACAGCTGGAGCAACTTTCATGAAATTTGGAGTTATTCCCCGGTATAATCCGACCAATCCTTCATGTTGGATGATGCTACGAAACATAGAGATCATGCCATTTCCATTCTTTTCTGCAATATTAAAAATTTCTATTAACTTCCAGCTCTAAGAAATGATGAAGAATGACAAAAAACCTGACTTCAAGAAATTCTTCATAATTAATCTTGAAAAAAATGAATAATTCATTGAAATATTATACCAGTGGGATGATAGAATAAGGCCAACAAGGGTATATTTTCAAGTAAAGAAAACTGAATATGAAGAATTTTATTGTGGATGAGGCCAAAATGTAATAAAACACCCAACAAACACTTCCTAGTTGCTGTTTTCTCAAACAAACGTAGTTAAGTTGATTGTGAATTTGTCACTCCAATAACGTGGATTTCATGCAATATAATTTCACAAAAAATATACAATTGTTGATTTTTAAGTTAATGTTTGGTTTAATGTCATCTAAACAGGTTGTCATACTGATGAAAATAAAGAACAGTGTACACCGAACTGAGAACAACTGTGAAATGGTGATTCAATTTTCCAGAAATTAAACATCTTTAGGAGATTTATAACATTTATCTCAAATATCTTTCTTTCTTTAGTTATATTAACTTGAAATTGGGAATTCTTGAACAAGATACATTGTTATATATATAGTACAGAATTAACTCCTATTTCTTTTGCTAATAATTCTTAAAACTTTTCTAGGACAAAAATTTAATGTGCTATTAATTTATCACACTTAAGTACTTTCAGCTTTAATCACCACTTAAATATCATCTCAAGATCGTTAAATCTATTACAATATTAATGCTTTAATTATACACGTTTTTTTTTTCTTTACCTTGAGCCTGTAGTTTTGTCTTAACTAAAGAAAATGGATAACTTGCTATTTGACCACATGAGCTGCTAATGGTTCCACATGCTAAGAAGACTAGAATTCCTGGGTCCTCTTGCTTAAAGTGCTGTCTCAGGTACATTTTCTTAAGAGTCTTTGATGAAAAAAGAAGAAAATATGCAAAATCTCACAAAACAAATAATCACCATAAGCTCTTAGCAAATCCAAAAGTTATTAATCATTACATTAGCATTCAGCTTCACTTAATTCAATTCTAAATAAAATCAACCCAAGGGGTGTAGCCAACACTTCAAAATAAAGGAGTATTTGTTTTTTTTAAATGTGGACTTTTTCTGCTATACAAGGAATTTAAGCGATTTACATAAAAGTCAAGTGTTTAGTAAATAAAAAATCAAAGATAGTGGACCTTTTAAGATTTTGTAGGATATTAAGGATGGTCAGTCAACCCTCCCCCCAGCTATAATCCCTGGTTTACCCTACCAACAGGCGAAAAGTTCCAATGGAAATTATTTTTCAAGTAAAATAGCTTTCCAGCCTTATATAAAGGTTGTCATTGTTTTTTTTCTGTTAAAAATAATGAAGAATTTTCACCTATTTTTTTGAACATTGCCTGGTGTATAAATCATGCCAAACTTGCCTCTTGATGATGCGTTTCAATTTTCAAGTTATATTTCTTATTAAATGTGTAATATAAAACTTTCTTCTTACTTTCACTATGAACAATAAGGGTGAACTTACTTCATAAACAGCTAAATCAATCCCTGCATACGGCAAGATACCAAAAAGATTTGGCACATAACCTCGATAAAAAACGTTAATTCCACCACTGTTATACATTTTTTTGGCTGCATCCGGGATTCCATAATATTGTCCTGTATTTCTGAGAGCCAATCTAGTTTTTAAGACCTAGAAAAACAATAGTTTTATTGTTTGTACACCTTAAAAACTTTCAGACAAAGAGAATCGACATCAACATTTAGAATTCTAAAATCTAATCATTCATAAATAATAATATTTGAGCAATCCACTGAATTTTGCACGAACAAGGTACTGAACATTACCTCTAGTGGATAAATGATTGTCTGGGAGATTCCTCCGGCCACTGATCCAGCCATGAATCTTTCTAATATTCCCAGGTCTCGGTTACTGTTTCCAGCACATTGGATAAATTGTTTGGCCTTAAAAAAAAAAATTAGAAATTTGACTAAACATAATCAAGTAAGGAACAATTCATCTCAAAGGATGTTAACTGTATTAATTGTAATTTTCACTTACACCCCAAAATCCTAAATTAAGCTGTTTGTTTCTTGTAATGAATATGATTTTTTTAAGGGTTGTTGTGTAGTGAATCAAAATTTATCAGCAATCCAACTCCATCCTAGTCTTTTTTTGGATTACTTCACATTGGGAATTAGCAAAAGAGAAACAAAAAAACTTCAGCTTAAGACTACATTTTTTTTATTCAGTTATAAATAATTTTAGTCCTAGTAGTTGTAACTATTCTGAATTACTTAAAACTCCTGATAATTTCATTCCTGTTATTCTTAAGGCACTTATATTACTCTTAAATCTATACCGCAACTCTGTTGTACACCATAAATATGTTTCAATTAAAAACACAGTTATTAATAAGTAATAAATAACTGAACTAGTAATGAAGATGATTTATTGGAATTTGCTAATCAATTAATCATCAGGCTCAGTAATCCATAACATTAAACAAATTCATTATTCTCATGAGACTTGTGTAGTTAGAATTACCAAAAATAATAATAATAATAACCAAAAACACCAAATATCTTTGTAACATTAATCAACTGAATGGTAATTTCAATGAATCAATTATTTTATGTGATACTAATACATTTTACTGGCTAAGTTAGTAAATCACCCAGCTTCAGTAATAAAACATTCTTGTAGAACATAACCAATTTTCAGTACAAAACTTACTACAACCACCACAGAGGTGTTGCAATATGTTGTATATACCACAACCATTCTTCCTAGAGCTAACATCTCTAAAGATATGTTGTATGTTTTCAAATTTGTTAGGTCAATTTAGAAATATAAGCTAGACACTTCTATTTAGTTGTAACTTCACAGATGCATTTAATGCTAAGTGATAATGAAAAACCTTCAGAAATACTTTATTTTAACTAAATCTTGAATCCAAAAACTTTAAGAAGTATGTTTTGATTTAGGAGAACAATTTTATATTTTGTTTTCGGAAAAACAATATCCTTTCATTGGCTCAAGATGGAGCAAGACCTGTTTTAGTCCTAATTAATTTTTTCAAATTAATCATGGAAGTTAAGACTTAGATATCACCGAAAAATATTCCTTAAGGTATTAAGAGTAAGCCTAACTTTTAACAAGTTAATAATTGTCTTCAGTGAAACGAAGATTATAAAAAAAAGAAAAAAAAAGTCATTTCCCGGTACTTTACAGCTCACTTTGTATCTTTATTTATGGACAAAACTAAAATCTTTGTTTAGAAGAAAAGAGACAATAAATAACATTTCCAGGGAGATAAAACCAAAGTTTTGAAAAACAAACAAAATCTTACTTAATTATACTTGTCAAACTAACAGTAATATTAATGTATGATTAGAGCATAATTAAGATCGTGCTTCATCACAACAAAATCTTACTTAATTATACTTGTCAAACTAACAGTAATATTAATGTATGATTAGAGCATAATTAAGATCGTGCTTCATCACAACAAAATCTTACTTGTTCATAAGCCATAAATTTAAGTGCACTTTCTGGTGTTATCTTTAGTACATTGATTCCGTTACCTCGCCACAAGGAGTGAACACCACCCTCATGCAACATGTGCACAAAACAAGATCGCACTGATGCAAATTCAGCCCCTTTCACCTGTAAGACAATGTTTAGCATTATATACCTATGGGGTTTTGAGTCCGTTTCACCATGTAGAAATCTAAATTAATTTAGGTATACAAATAACGTTACGACATTTCGTCAAATTAATTATTATACAGAGGACTAACTGTTTAATGATTACATACATGTGTTAATATTTCTTTTTCAGTTGAGGTGAATTTAAGAGAATCTGTGATGTAGAGGCCTAATTCATTCTTTGATTGGCCGTACCCTCTGCCGTGGTCTGCAGTTTCATCTATTCAAGGCTCATCAGCACAGCTTGGGTCAGCAAACAAAAGAAATACAACTAGGCTTGTTGTAACGGTTAAGTGTATATAATATCTATGTGGTTTTACTTCACCATATAGTAACCTAAGTTAATTTAGGTATGTGAATAGCGTTATGACATTTTGTCAAATTCGTTATTTCGATATTATACAATAGACCAATTGTTTAATGATTGTGTGTATATATATATATATATATATATATATATGACAGGGAGAGGTGTTCAATCTTTTAAATAAAGAACATTTCAATATATTTTTGATTTGTGTTTCAAAAACTAACAGTAATGTAATTGAGTAATTACCTTAGTTTGACACAGTGATGAAAAGTCTGACTTTAAATCTACATATTTGTCATGTTAAGAATTCTATATTTCTATGGATTATCTTAACATTCTGTGCATACTAAAAACAGCATTAAAAATCTTAAATAAATAAATAAATATATATATATATATATATATATAATGAAAATATTCCCACAGAGTAAATATTTAACTTATGCTTATGGTGTATACAATGTCCCTTATTAATCATGAGCACCTTAGATTAACGTAGATATTTGTAGAACAAGTAACATTAATGATATACATTAGTTCTTTTAAATTGGTAAGTTGACATACTTTACACAAGTTATAGAGTAGCAAAAATCTCTGTATGTATCTGTTTCTGCACAGTAAAAATAGTCATAAAACATACCTGTAGGAACACCTTTAACCTATCTAGTGGGGCTGTGGATGTTCTAGAAATAGCCCCTGCTATACCCCCAGCCACCAGATGTCGCCACCAAATGCCAGTTTGCATCTTGGTTCGTGTGAAATTATCAGGCACAAGTGTTTCATCTTCAATATCACGTAACTAAGAACAACATAGTAAAAAATGATTCAATTAGTTAATGTACATAAAGTCTATGACATATTTACTACACAATCAACTGAATAACAGATAAAATATAATTTTACTGAATAAAACTTTTGATATTCATTTAGGAGATTCTAGGCTAAATATGAAGACTGTAAGGCATTTTATTCTTAATATGAAAAGGTTACTAGTGAGAGCTAGGATTTTTCAGATCTTGACCAACAAACCGATAGGTAGTAAATCCAAGATTTCTTTTCCCCAAAATAGCTGGTTTGCTGAAGAGTTTAGAAATAAAGTAATAGCATTAATGATGGATATTCTTCGGACACCTGTATTACTTATGGTGAGTAATGGGCAATTTAAACGGAATATACATATTAAGTAGTCCTTCTCTCTGTTTTTTTTAATTTATAAATATAACTGGTTTATAACCACAAAGACATAACTCATTTATCACCCACTGTACACAATTAGTATGTCCCTACGTACAAACAATCCACTTTTATTTTTATCTCTGTCAATGTACACAACTGGTTCATTACTACAGTCCTCCAGTGATAACTCTGTGGATTTATAATGCTAAAAAGCAGATTTTGATACTTGAGGTGGGCACAGCACATATAGCCCACTGTGTAGCTTTGTGTTTAACTACACACACAGTATTACTACACGAAAATTAACCCTCTTCCACACGATGTATACTTAGTTTTCTACCTGTATGCAAAGTATTAGTCCTTTCATACAGTACTCAACTAGTTTATCCCTACATTCAATGTAGCTCATCATAATGTACACAACGTACATACTTACAAAGTGGCTCCTCTTTCACATAATGTACACAACGTACATATTTAAAAAGTAGCCCCTCTTTCACATAATGTACACGATGTACGCATTTACAATGTAGCTCCTCTTTCATGAGGTGTATACAATATGTTTTTGCTGAGGTATTTTTAACTGATTTCCTCAAAGAAAGTTGAGTAAGTCCACTTTATAACAGGAGGTCTGGCAGCATAGATCACAAAGTGAATCCAAACTGACTCTGTTTCAAGCTAAAATATGATAAATAATAAAAAAATATGTGCTTCGACAATCATTTTCTGCTGGACTTGTGAACTGATAAACAGTTGTTCTTGCCTCAAGATATCTTTCCACCAACCAACTTGCTTAACATCTAATGTAGAATGTCTTAAGTCTAAATGTTCCTCACTTTATGGGAAAAGTCAGCTTTATCCATAGTGACTTTGTGCTGACCATGTGATTGATCATTCTCATTCAAACTAAGGGAGGCCATAACCTCTAGATATCATCTGCTCTACCAGAGAAGGATACTTCTGTCATTGACCTTCTTGCACAATTTGTAGTGTTACAACAAAAAATCCTCTTTAGAAAATGACAAAGATAGCAAGAATAAAGTCAACTTAACAGTTCTTGTGGACCACATGTTATGCTGTAATAGACTTCTTTTTCATACACCCTGGTGAGACGGCTTGAACCTAAATACAAACTTGCTCCTCTTTTAATGGTATATTTCACATTCAAATTAGTAGCTCTTTATTTACACACTTCACACAAACATTTGATACCAACACTGTATACAACTGAAATATGACTATACCCAAAGTAGCCCTCTTTTCACACACTTCACACAAACATTTGATACCAACTGTGTGAAAAGGGGCTACTTTGGGTATAGTCATATTCCAGTTGTATACAGTAAATGTTTGTGTGAAGGATACCAACATAAAAAAAAAGTGTTCTTTTTCACACTTTGTGAGCAGTTGGGTTTTACTCTTACACAATTCATCTTGACTCTCAGAATACTAAGGTAAATTCTTACTGTAGATTGCCTCCAATAGTGGTAAATGTCTTCCAAGTCCAAAGAAGGATGAAAGAACAAATAATTCCTCCACTCATCAAAGCTGATTGCAAGATTCCAATTTCTATCCATACTGGAAAAACAAAAATTAAACTACATAAACAAAAATTAATTATTTATTATATCCACTAAGACACAACCTTTGGATTTGGTTTGTTTAAGTGCAAAATTACATAATGGGTTACCTGCACTTTGACCATCATAGGGAATCAAACCTCACATCTTAGCTTTATAACACCACAAAATTAGGCTTAAAAAAAAAGCAAAAATCTATAACTTTTTGAAAGACACTTCAAATGCAGGATTTTACTACTGTGATGCTCCTAGTGAATGAAAAGAAATCAGTTACTGATTTTATGATATTTGTTTCTTCCTCACAGTGTTTTTATAATTACAAACTCTTGCTACATGATGACAGAACAAGAATGCTATCTTTGTTAAGCCCTCAAATTAATGTAAAACAGTTCATATTATAGCCATAGTGGAAATTTTGAAAATATCAATCTCTGTTCATTATTTCAAGTTATAGTTTTGTCTATGTTATGAATATAACATGAAACATTTGTGCATGTGTTAGATTAAGTCTAAATAAAACAAAACCAAAACTTAAAGTTAGTGTATTTGTGTACTTACTTTACAGGTAAATTTTTGCTAGGATAACAGTAATATTTCACGGCTCAAGAAAACATGAACATGACTAATGTTTACATGCAAAAATACCGAGTAACAATACAGAAAGAAATGATAAAGAAAGATTCGAACCCTAGACTACAGTGTTACACAAAGCAAACGGTATAAATAGCTAATTTCAATGCCATTTCCTGTATTAAAACTATTTTTACATAGTTTAACAACAAAAACCCATACCTTAGAAAATGATGTGGAAAAGCTTTTGCAGGCCTGAACTTGATTAAAATTGATACAATGCATAACATAAAATATCTTAGTAACACAGTTTACATCATAATAAGCAATATATAAATATGTCGCAAATTAGGTGAAACATGGTGAATTACAAAAATGTAGTTGGGGATTGCAAGGAAAAAAATACTATGAAGAATAATATATACATTTATAAAAACACAACAATTTTCAGTCTAAATCATAAGTGGTCAGACTATTTAAGTTTTTTGTTAAAAAAAACACCAGTCTAAAAAAAAGTTCTGGACTGTTTCAAGCTGCTTCTTATTACAATAAAAAAATCATTGATAGTCTTAACAACACACCAAACCAGAATACAGTAAAAGAAACACTGCTTTATCTTTTATTGCCAAGATATTGCGTGTGCATATACAAAATTCTCACACGTATCTAGGGTTCTTTTTCTGAAATTAGCAAGACAGGTAGCAGAAATTCATAATAAAACAACTTTACAACAATACCTCAAGACAGAATTTGTAAAAAGTTTAAACAATCACATTAAAATTCTGAACATCTATTCTATCTTTCAAAAAACCCTGGGCCTTATCTTGAAAAATCAGTATCATTTTTATAATAAGAATTATATACACACATAGTTGTACGTGTATCAAAATTATTAAGATTATCTCAATTTACCACTTTACAAGACGAGGTGTTTCATGGCGAGTTAGGGAAATGCCAAGTTTCTTGACAGCATTTGTAATATCTAAGGCACCAATTCTACCTGTTAAACAAAAGAAAAAAAAATAGCATTAAGTCACTGGTATAGCAATAGAAAAGAAATTCTCTTCTGGTCTCAGGATAATATACAATAAAATAAGTTCTAAAACATCACTGATCAGGCTGAGGAACACTGGTACTATCTTTAACTGGTTAAGAAAACAAGAGACCTACTTTGATCTGGTTAAAAAAAACATATTAATCTCGATAGAAGCATGTACACTTTAAACAATTAATGTGAAGTAGTTTTGATGTGGTTAACACGTAATACTTTGAAATACATGGACCATTATGGTATTTTCCCTTTTATTCGTTTACTTTTCAAACTATATTTTTCCTTGCCTTAGATTTTATTTTAATCCAAGACCTATTACATACTTTACCAACTGACCTAAAGGGCCAGCCCACTAGTACTTGCTAGTAAGGCACATTTAACTACTACTCAAACTACTACACCATCTTGAACTGGTTCCAACATATTACACTTACTGGCTAAAAAACACATGTACGATCTTAATGATTAAAACACACATGTACTTTTTTTTTATTTGTTGAGAACTATGTACACTTTGATCTGGCT